AGAGCTATAGTGAGGCCCCCATCCCCAAAACAAAACAAGATAAAAACTAACAAAAAACTCCTCAAACCAAAAAAAAAAAAATCAAATTAGTAGTACAGTTTTCTGTTGACGAGTAGGAGAGGCTACTTTGGCCAGCATCACCCAGAAAGCAAAACCAATCAAGCACCTAACAAAAGCTACACAAAGAACATGCACTAAAAAATCCTACTCAACGGGGCTGGAGAGATGGCTCAGCAGTTAAGGGCACTGGCTGCTCTTGCAGAGAACCTGGGTTTGGTTCCCAGAACCCCATGGTGGCTAATACAGCGGATCCCAATTCCAGGGGATCCGATGTCTGCTTCTGACCCCTGTGGACATTGCATGATGCAAGGGCACTTACATACATGCAGGTAATACACTTATACATATAAAACAAAGAATTTTTTAAAATCCTAAACAAAATACTAGCAGATATAATCTGACAGCACATTAAAAAGATTACTCAAGGGGGCTGGAGAGATAGTTCAGCAGTTAAAAACACTGGTTGCTCTTGCAGAGGACCAAGTTCAACTTCCAGCACCCACATGGCAGCTAACAACTGTCTATAACTCCAGTTCCAGGGAATCTGATGCCCTCTTCTGACCTCTTCGGGCATTGCATGACACGGGTGCACTGACACACACGCAGGCAATACACATATACATAAACTAAAAATAATAAATGTTTTTTAAAAAAAGATTACTTAAAATGTGGGCTTTACCTCAGGGATGAGAGAGGGTCTTAACAGATGCAGAAAAGCATTTAGATAAAGTCCATTTTTCATAATACAAATGCTGATCAAATTAGGTACAAAAAGAATGTACCTGAAAATACCAAAGGCTATATATAAAAAGCCAATAGCTGCCGGGCATGGTGGCGCACGCCTGTAGTCCCAGCACTTGGGAGGCCGAGACAGGTGGATCTCTGTGAGTTCAAGGCCAGCCTGGTTTACATAGTCAGTTCCAGGACAGCTGGAACTACAGGGAGACCCTGTCTCAAAAAGGCCAAAAAAAAAAAAAAAGCCAACAGCTAACATCACACTGGAGGGGGAAGCTTCCTCTCAAGATCACAAGACAGTGACATCACCACTTATTTTTCAGTACAGTACTGCAGGTCCTCACCAGAGCAATCAGACAAAGGAGAGAAAGAGACACCCAAATGGGAAAGTCACAATGGTACCTGAGTGTCTCAGACAATATATAGGAAACCTCAAGGACTTCATTAAAAGCCCAGCAATCCCAGCACTTTGGAGGCCACACAGAAATGCCAGCAGTTCAGGCCAGTCTGAGCTACATAGTAAGAGACGATCTATAAATCAAAGCAGCAGCAGCTAATTATCTAAAATGAAAACAATCCCATTTATATACGATAGCTATAAAAACATTTAGACAACCTAAGAATGATTTAACTGAAGTGGTAAAAGAAGGGCTGGATTACATGGCTGTAATCCTGGCACTTGGGAGGTGGAGACACGAGGAGCAAGAGTTCAAGGTTAGTCTCAGATACATGGTGAGTTCAAGGCCAGCCTGGGTGGTGTGAGACCCTATCTCAATTGAACAACAATAACAACAAAAAGATAAAAGATCTTCACAATAAAAACTCTTGAGTTGGGAGATATAGCTCCATGGCAGAGTCCTTGCCTAGCATGTAAGAAAAGTTGTACATTAATCCCCAGAACCCCAAAAAGGAAAACCATGAAAAACTGATGAAAGAAAGTGAAAACACCTGGGTTATATAAGGAGTCCTTCCCACAAAACTCCTAAAGGCCATACTACTTAAAACAATCTTTACTATCAATGTAATTTAGCAAAACACCAATGACATTCTTTACAGAATTAGGAACAAACAATACTATAGCTTGTCTGAAACCACAAAGCCCTAAGACTCTAAGCAACAAAATCACAAGCAGGAGATGACATACTATTGGAAAATGCACTCTAAAGCCTCAGTAATTAAAACATGGTACTGTCCTAAAAACAGACACCGAAACCAGTGGAACAGAATAGTCTACAAGCAAACCTTCACATTTATAGCCAATTGATTTTTATTTTACAGTACTAGAGACTGAACCTAGGGCATTGTACATACAAGGTAAACACTACCATAGCTATACTCTCAGCCCCCAGAGCCAATCACACACACACACACACGTCTCAACTTATGGCCTTGAACTCGTGATCTTCCTGCCCCTACATCCCAAGTGCTTGGATTACATTCATGTGCTACCATGCCCAGCTTCAGCCAACTGATATTTGACAAAGGTACTACAAACATGCAGTGAAGGACAAATCGAAATGGATCAGAGACTTACATGTAAGGTCTGAAACCAAACTGGTTCATGGTGGCTACCACTTCTAATCCCAGCGCTGGAGAGGCCGAGGCAGGAAGCCCGCTGGAAGTTCAAGATAAACCTGAGGTCTAATGTGGAACCTTGTTTCAAAAACAAAAAGCAGCTACTAGCGTGGTTGCACACGGCTTTAGTCCCAGCACTCGGGAGGCAGAGGCAGGCAGATCTCTGTGAGTTCAAGGCTAGCCTGGTCTACAAAGCAAGTTCCAGGCCAGCTGGGACTACAGGACGACGCTGCCTCAAAAAGACAGAAAGAAAAAAAAAAAAAAAAAAGCCATTACAGAATTTAGGTCACAAGAGTGCTAGGAACTTTGTGGACTACACCTCCAAGGCACTTATAAAACAAAGGCAAAACTAGACACATGAAAGCCGGGTCCCAGCACGGGAGGCAGAGGCAGGTGGATCTCTGTGAGTTCAAGGCCAGCCTGGTCTATATAGTGAGTTCCAGGCCAGCTGGGACTATAGAGAGACCCTGTCTCAAAAGACCAAAAAAGAAAAAAAACAAACAAAAAACTAGATAAATGAGATTATATCTAACTGAATGGCTGCAGAACAAAGGAAATAATCAGGGCAGAAGAAATGCACATAATGGGAAAAGGTATTTGCAAGCTGTATCATGAAAGACTAACACCCAAAACATACAAGGAACTCAATATGAAAAACCAACAAAACAAAAACCCACACCACTAAAACACAGGGCCTGAGGCTGAGGAATATAATTCATACAGAGGACAACAGTTCAGTTCTCAGCACCCACATAGTGGCTACCACCTGTCCCTAACCCCAGTTTCAAGGGAGCCAATGCCCTCTTCTGGCCTCTGTGGGCATTGCACGCATGTGGTGTATTTATATATACATGTGGGCAAAATACTCATACACATTAAAAAAAAAATTTAAAAATAAAACAAAAAGCCCCACCCTTCCAAATAATCCAATTTAAAAATGGGCAGAAAAGCTGAGTGTGGTGGTGGTGTGTGCTGGTAATCCCAGTACTTGAGAGGCAGGGGCAGGAAGTCATCCCCATGTTCTCCAAAGTCAGCTTGGTTGACATAGTAAGTTCCAGTCTAGACAGGATTACATCATGAGATAATGTCTCACAGAACCCAAAAGTGGCAGACTGACATTTCCCAAGAAAACACAAATGGCCAACAAGTGTATGAAAAAAATGGTTAGTATCACTGGTTAGGAACAACAGAATCAAAACCACAAGCAAGGGGTGGTGGTGCAGCCTATAACCCTAGTATTTGGGCAATGAAGGTAGGATTTCAAGGCCAGTCTGGGATATATAAAACACTGTTTAAAAAAAACAAAACAAAACAAAAAACAAAAAACAACCAAACCAGGGCCTAGAGAGATGGCTCAGTCATTAAAAGTATTGATTGCTCTTGCAGAAGATCTGGGTTCTGTTCCCAGCATTCACATGATGGCTAAAAATACCCATAACTCCAGTTCTAGGGGATCCAGCATCCTCTTCTGACCTCTGAGATGTTGCATTTACATACAACACATGCACTCATACACATTAAAAACAAAGCAACAAAAAACCCTAGTAACAACAAATGCAATCAGACACTGAAATACACCTCACTCCAATTTGATTATCACCAAAAAGACAAAAGAGGGTGAGGATGTAGCTCAGTGTGAGAGAAACTGCCTATAGGGACGCGGAATAAGTCAACCTTGCACAGTGCGAACTGGTTCAGTCATTAGACTGTATGAACATGTCTCACAGAGGCTGAAAACAGTGCTAACATGATTGAGCAATCCCGTTTCCTGGTATATAGCAAAGGGAATGGAATTGCTATAACAGGAGATACCTGTACTCCTATGTTAGTAGCACTAGTCACAATAACTAAAACACGGAAACAACCTAAAGGTCCATGGATCAATTAATGAATAAATGAAAATATGGTACAGCACAAAATGAATTGCTACGAATCCATTAAAATTGATAAAACCCTATCATTTGCAACAACATGGATGAAACTGGAAGCTACTTACAAAAGACGCTGGGCACACAAAGATAAGTACTTCATGGTTTCACTCATGTGAATATAAACACAGTTGAGAGCAGAGTGATCTTTACCAGAAATAGGGAAAGTGGTGAAGAGAGGGATGAGAAATTGATCACTGGAAATTACCTTAGTAAGAAGCTCCTGGTAGCATTGCACACAATAACCAGGTATGATAATATATTCTGAATGTCAAAAAGCTAGGAGGATTCTGAATGTTTCATCATAAAGAAATCAACATGTAAGGAGCTATTTAACTTGGTCTAAACATCCTATGGGAGCCAGGGATGGCAGTGCACACCCATAACACCAACATTTGGGAGGTGGAGGCAGGAGCATCAGGAGTTCAAGGCAAGTCTATATAGAGTTTGAGGCCTTTCTGGGCTACATGACACCCTATCTGAAAACAACAAAAATTATATGGTATTCCATAAAGTACAATTTCTATATCTTTATACATCTGTTAATATCCAGAAACAGTGTATTCAAAGTGACCAGTTAATGACACTCACCTGACCATGTGACTGACTCCTTATTTTCTCCACTTTTCCTCAATAAACATAAAAAGGAAAAATCAAAATACAATGCACGGTACACGTCATGCCAATGAGGTCTTGGAGTACCTTGTCTCTCTCCTTTTCCTTCAATTTGTCCATGGATCGCTTTAGTCCTTCTCCCAGAAGGTCCGTGAGGCGCACCGTTTCACCTGAACGTGTTTTAAACTTCTTCCTAAAAATGATGTAAAGACCTAATCAAATATTCTGAAACAGACCTTTCAATTTCAACTTTAAAATTCTCTGAAAATGAAGGGGAGGGATCCAGCCACATACTTCAGCACATGCCTCCTTCAAACCATGGACCATAGAGAGGTTACAGAGTCATATTCCAGGTGGCGACCATGGAAGAATGCCAAAAGAAACTACTATCCTCCCAGTGTCTCGTCTCTAGTCCTCAACTCAGAGCATTCTGTGTTGCAGCCCCTTAATGGCACTGTACTTTTACTATATTCTTTAACAGGGAGATAAAATTAAAAAGGCTGGGCTGGGCATGGTGGCCTTTAATCCCAGCACTTGGGAG